TGCACCTGTATACGCTTAAATTGCTTTTACTGTTGGCCACACAAGAATGAAGAACAACAGGCTGAACCAGACACTCCCTGCCACCTCTCGCTCTGTCTCCACTTCCCCTTTTTCACCTTCCTCCCACATTCCTCCCCCCCCTCGCCTCACACTCTACCGCTTCACATTGCATTAGAAGTGTGAGAATCAGAATCTAGATTTAATGGCTGTTTTGGAAGACATGCAAACATGGATTTTATGGATGTTGCGTAAAAGTCAGATATCTTCGTCGCTACACCTCCCACCCCCCCCCCGCCCTCACACTCCATCCAGCCGCAGCCCATCTCACCTTTCACCCTCTAGTTGTTTCCTGATTGGTTTTCCAAAGCCAAGGCTAAGTCAGTGGAGATCTATGGGCCAACCTGCTTCATACGGGAAATAGAGAAGCAATTCCAGAGCTTCCTCCACCCTGTGTGTGTGTGTGTGTGCCATACATGTGTGTGTGTGTGTGCTAGTGCATTATGGGTTAAGAGAGCTTTCTTCCTCTTAGGTAAGTGCTTCTCTACTGCAAACTGTGGTTTTACACTTTATTCCGGTCACTTTTGGAATGGTCTGCTCACCTGCACATTGGGATAGTAAATGCACGGACTCATGCTCACACACTCTCACACACACTGGTGTCAGAACTGAATGAATTCATACAAATCAGAAGCGTGTATGCAAGAGCATCACTATAATGAGAATGATTCTACCGGAGATTATCTGGATTAGGATTACATGTCATATTTTTAAATCGAGAACGAGGTTAGGCATACCCCCTCGCATCATAATTACTATTAGCGTGTATGAGAATTAAAAAGGGATTGTCATTTTTTATTTTATTCTGCAAATTGAATAGCAAAGCTAATTTTGAATTAAACGGAACGGTGAATTATATTTTCTTCTGAAAGCACTTTGGTGTTTCACAGTGGGATCAGCTAATGCGCTTCCCGTGATACGTCAATCTCACTCAGGCTCAAAGCTAAAGAAACTCTCAATCAGCACATTTGTCACTGACTGCCAAATTAATCAAACAATCTGATTAAGATTTTGATACAGAAATGACTAGATAACCTGCATTTTGTGATTAGCTTCAGGATTATAATTAGGCCTGGAGTTGAACCAAGAAATGTAATTGGTTAGCGACAACACATTGTAAAGATAACAGATAATGGATGCAGGACACCTGAGCATTTTTTTTACAGACGTACAGCTACAGTTTTAGTGTAAAAAAGGTGGTAGAAGATTTTGAACATGTTCAATGATTTAAAACCTCTTTGCTTTACATCCACCTCTTCACACTTCATTAAGTTTATTATTATTGGCTCTAGCATGCCTGCGTCTTGTCTGGCTAATGGCTACATAGCCACACATTACACTGTGAGGGCTCAAGCTGATTAAACAGCCCCTTTGATCGTGCTCTCTCTCAGAGTGATTCAGGTATTGCGGAGGCACCTGCGCTCTCTCGAGAATCTGAGCATTAAAACTGTGCCAACGTGAAGGTTCTCTGCCCTGCTTTCCCTCTTTCGAGCTGATGGGGCTCATGCAGAAACAGAATGCGCAAGCCTAAATACATCGTCATATGGATATACAAGAAAAGTCCATTTGCTGTTAATGATGGCATGTGGAAGCCCATGTTTTTCTACATTTCCATGTCTGCGTGTGGTTTAAATGATTCCCAAATGTGTGTTTTCACCGACATTTCTCCCAGCTTCCTTGATTATAAACAATGACAGTGACACTCCTGTGCAATCTGTCACTAACAAGCTCAATCCATTTTAGAGTCAGGTTCTTTTACCACCTACTGCAGCATAAAATGATGTCTTTGTTTGTGCTCCATTGCACCACTGCTCCCCCCGTCTGACACCTTGCTTCCTTTTCCTCACTATCAGTAATAGTTTACAAATGAGATGTGAAGGGTCGGTAAATTGGATAATGCTGTTGGCTGAAGGTTTGGTTTTCTTTTCTCGTGAGCGCTCTATTGAGAACACGCGTCAGTCACTGGAGACTATTATCTGACAGTACGTCTCCATTTTTACCTGCTCTGCTGCAGAGGGAAGAAACAGAATCCTGTGATATGAGTTTTTTTTTAATATTATCCATAAACCGATTCACCCCGCCTGTTAGAGGCTTGAAAATGAGTTCCAAGCCTAATCTGCATCGCATACTTTACCTCTACCTCATACATCTGCTCGGCTTTCTGTGATATATTGCGAGATAAACATGATCTTTATATATACAATTCAGTGTGGCTTCCTATACAGCAGTTTTATTGGTGATCTGATTCATATGACGAATCCATTTTGAATAATGATGATGGCATATTTGTCATTATCAATGACAGATTGCTACAACAGATTGCTGACTAACATAAACGCATGAGGATCAATCTCTGGCATGAAATGTATCTCTCTCTCTGTTCTTTTTTAATTGTTTTTGGGTCAATTTGTTTTTTGGTCTGCTCTGAATCTACAGGCTCCTTACCTTCTTGCTTTGCTGCAAGACTGCACCAGTCATAGTTTTGGGTCACAGTCCAAGACAAAAAAATGCTGCATCGTGTACTAGGGCTGCTCGATTATGGCAACAATCATAATCTCGATTATTTGGGTCAATAATTGATATCACGATTATTAAAAACGATTATCCATTTACTTTGAAAATATCAATTTATTGGAGACATTTTTTTTTAACAGTTGATTACCCTGAACTTTAAGTATAATTCAACTGAAAAACCAAAAAAAAAAAAAAAAGTAATTTGAAAAAAAAAAAAAAGTAATAAAAAAATAATCGTTTTATTTCGATTACGTTGTTTTCATAATCGTTGCAAGCCATAATCGTAATTGCGATTAAAATACGATTAATTGAGCAGCCCTATCGTGTACTCTTTTTTTTCATTGTTTGACAACTTATGTTGTTTTAAAAAAAAAATGTCCTCCAAAGACAATACATGCAACCACTCTCACCACCCTCCAAAATACTATTCTCACCCTGTCTTGTCACATCTTGTTTGCCAGCGGTCAAAGAGTTCACTAGAGTTTAGCAGAAAGAGTATATAAAGACATAATATATATATTTGATCATGATAATGATGCTATCATCCTTTACACTTATTCCACACAGGAAGATGTATTGTGTTTGCACTGTACGCATTGTGTTTCTAAGTCTGATTTATGTGTCAGAGTTGTGAATAGACTTGCCATCAGAATGGGACTGGGAACCAGTTTGTCTTGAAGGACCATGACATTTCATCCATTACACCAACCAACACCCATCTCAGCTATGCTCTGTTATACAAGGTGTGACAACACAAAGCAAATACTGTAGATTTGTTCTGCTTTGATTTTCTTGGCTGTGTGACAGTGTCTCATATTTGTAGGAGGGTGCACCGCCGTCTGTTCGCTGTTTCAGGTTTTTCAGGATCAACACTGTCAGACATCACAGGGAGGGACATCACATAGTGTTGGTGTTATTTATAGTATTTCAGGCATTGATATGCACCGTATATGAAGGATTATGGCAGAAATGTTCTAACTCCACTCATACATTATGAGGAGAGCACTAGTCCAGCAAGCAGAGACGTGCTAATTGATTTACAAAGTGCAAAATAAACCCTACAAGATTATTTAATGACTGCAGCTTGTTATCCGGTAATGGCCTTAAGATGTTTTAGCTAATAACAGAAAGAGGACACCGTGGCCAATCTAACAAAACAACACCTAATTATACTAATTTCCAGAAAGTTGAATGTGAAAAAAGATTAAAAAGTGAGGCAGCCAGTAACTCATAAGTTGTTGTTGCTTGGTTTAATAGTAAGGTTTCAAATTTCAAATGAAAAAGGTGGTTAGGTAGTTAGAACAATGATAGGGGGGTTCATTGAGAGTAGAGTAAGCTAAGCTAAAATGGATCGTCGACTACTTGATTGGTCGATTGACAGAAAAATGATCAGCAAATGTTGGAGTACATCTTTTAAAGCAAACATGGCTGTTATCAGCCTCTCGAATGAAGATCTCTTGCTTCTCTCTGTTTTATACCATTTCAAACTGAAAGTCGTTTGTCGCTGCAGGTATTTATTGCCAGACTTCCATTAAAGTTAATTAAATACGCAACTCTCCTTTTCCATTTATAAGTAAAGAATGAGCCAGCAGCAGTGCCGACAAGCTTTAAAAAGTTGGGGGAATTTGGGGGACAAGCTAATTGGCAGCTTTTCTCAAAGTCAAACACGTCCCACGGGAATAAACTGCAGCGCTCTCTCAAATGTTGTGATGCAATGCTCTTTGTGACAGACTTACTCTCTATAATCTGTCTGTACAGGAAGCAAAATATGGAAATGAGATTGATGTTGCATGCTTGAATTTATGTAGCGGCAAATATGCAAATAGGAAAGGAAGGGCCCACTTCCTCTGCAGGGATAGGGTCTCAATGTTCTGGTCATTGAGTCTTTGTACACTGCGTTTCAGTGTCTGATTCTTCTCATGATCTCTTCCTTACTTCTGTCCGTGCTTCCTTTTCCAACAATATTTATCATTTGCTAGCCCCTTGATCCCTACGTCCTGTTCACTCTGCCCTCACTTGTTCTCCGCTGCTCTATCTGGTGATGTTTTCAGGAAGGAGAGGAACACTTCTACAACAATGAGGGTCAGCTATAAGTGAATCAGTTATACCTCAAGGCAAAAAGAATGACTCTTATCGCAAACAGATTAAACAACGCACTTGCCTGACGGCGGTTTAGTCTCTGAACCTCTTGTCTTTTAGTGTCTGTTTTCTCTTAGATAAGAGTGGAGTGTGTCTGTGTGTGCACATGCTTTTGTTAGTATGAGTGCCATGTGCGCAATCAAATCTTTGCATTTAGAACACAAGCCTATCCCTTATCGCACCTCATGTTGTCGTCATTTGGTCATCGTGTGCCTGAAGTCAAGCTGAACGTGATCCTTAAATGCTGTCACGCTAATGGTGACTGACCTCTGACCTTTTCGTCTTCTCAGGTACTGAACCCTGCCTGCTCTGACACCGCGACTCCAGACAGACACAGAGGCTGAAAGAGAAGTGGGCAGATAAAGCCATTGGAGGACAGAGGGAGGTGAGTGAAAAGAATAACTCGTATATGTATATTTCTGTATGCTGTATCTGGGCTGCTGTTGGAGGATCTTCTTTACAGGGCATCCAAATCAACCAGAAAAATCTATGAGTTCCTTTTTTTGCAAAATCCAAATCTACTGGCTCTCATAACCTGCTATTTTCTCACTAGATCTGCTCACTTGCATGTATCTCTGCCTTTCCTTTCAGTCTATCTGAATAAAACATGAACCTTCTGTGGTCTGCCCTCAGTTTTACAGACGTGCACTGAGGATGCATTTAGGTTACAACCATCTTTTGATCACAGCTGGTCAGGAGCGGTGGTCCGAGCGGTTGATGAGTTCACTCTCTGCTTTCCTTAAGTGTCTGCTTGTGACTGTTAAGTCGTTTTTATGCAATTCGCCCAGCAGCTTTCCACACTGTCATCTCAGCGGGATTGTTTTGGGGGGTCTGTGTGTTTATGTGTAAATAATTAATTGCTGTCGAGGTTTAAGTGGATCGCTAGTGAGATGGAACCAGGCAGAAAAAGCTCCTCAGTGTGCCTGACGCAAGTAACACATGTCTGCTGCTGCTCAGCGGCTCTCTGGGTTGTCTGAGGTCACCTGTTGGTGTCAACACTCATTTGTTATTAGTTATTGGATGACATTTAGAATACAAATAATATAGAATCATTAAATGACAACGACTTTAAAGAAGATATTTTATCACAAGATTATTTTGAAGTCAAAATACATGTCAGCATGATTGAAGGATTTGAGCTCTGGTAAACTGTGAACAACAATTTCTTCACTTTGTAAAGAAATGAGACATCACTTGATAAAGTAAGTAAGTAAGATAAGATAAGATGTACTTTATTAATCCCAATTTGGGAAAACATGTTTTGTTGCAGCAGCGTAAACAAAACAAGGCATTGCACATAATAACAAATTAAAAGAGTAGAATTAAACTTTTCTCAAATATAAACATCTCAAAATACAAATAGAAATAAACCAGCATTAGAGAGTACGATATATAATATGTATTTTGATGTAGCCCTGGTTCTATAGTATTTTAAACATTCAAAGTAATAAGCCAAACAGTGTACAACGTGTTATGTGTTTTCCCAACAAGACATATTCTCACTTTCAGACAGAAACATGGCCCCCCCTTCCTTCTATCTCCTCTCTTCTTTTTGTCACACTTTCTTTTAAACTGTTGCCTTTTCAACTCTCATTTTTTATTTATTTGTCTGCCTCTTTCTTTATCTTACTCAGCCCTGTATCACTGAATGTCTTTTTCTCTTTATTCATTCGCTCTGCTTTCTCTTCCTGTGTGTCATTCCTTCTCTCTTTCTTGCCCCTTAGCCGCAGTGTCCTTGAGAAAGCAGTGACTTTGCCAGTGAGCGCAGCAGAGCGCATCTCTCTCTCTCTCTCTCTCTCTCTCTCGTGCTCACACACTCTCCTCTCACTGACGCTCACTCAATCCCCTGAACACACACACACACACACACACACACACACACACACACACACACACACACACACACACACACACACACACACACACACACACACACACACACACACACACACACACACACACACACACACACACACACACACACACACACACACACACACACACACACACACACACACACACACACACACACACACACAAACACACACACTCACACTCACACTCACACTCACACTCACACTCACACTCACACTCACACTCACACTCACACTCACACACACACACTTTGTAGGTCCATGACAACACTGTCAAGCAGAACCAGCCCTTACAAGTCTCTTTCCTTTAGTCCCCATAAATAATTCAACACCAGCAGCATTTGCCGTAGGTTATGCAAATATTGACAAACCTATTGCAGAGAACAACAGAGACACTCCTGTGTGGCGCAAAAATATATGCCACTCACTGTTTTCGGAAACAGTTAAAATCACAAACAAACTGCTAATATAAGAGAGTAACAATAGTGAATTATTCAAATAAATGAAAAGCAGTTCTCAATTAGGTAAAGAAATATTTGTATTTATTCATTATTGTGGCTGCTTATCAATCAGACCCTTACAATGACAAGCTGTGTAACTTGAAAGATGACACTGTGTCCACTAAAAAAACAACCCGTCATTTGAGATTTCAATGGAATTCACTTGTGTAAGAAAACAGGATTTTATGCACAACTTCAATCACTCTTCCCTCACGGTTTGTTACAGAATTCGGACAAATTGCCTTCAGGTGAGGTGACACCGCAGTTAGCCTGCCAGCACGGAAACACGATCGCTGTGTGCCCTCCTCTTCATTAAAGGTCCCCTCCACTAATCTTAGATCATGACGGCCCATTGTCACAGTTTTCCGTAGCTTTTGAAATATAGATGGAGTCTGATTGTCTGGTTGTAAGATGAGACGTTATAATCCCTCGATGCCGTTTGTTCTCATTGGTCTCTGTTTTCCATCGGAGCTCGTCACTGCTTTTCCTGCAGTCTTACGTGTTTTCTGTTGGTGATCAAGTATCTCCTGGTTACTAAGCTGCAATGCTATAAAAGGGAGATGTGTTTTTGTGACTGCGCTTGAATGTGTAGCTTAGATGACAGTCGGGTTTAGAGGATATACTTGGCAATAAACTCTTTTTTTTTACTCGGAGTACAGTAACTTGTGCAATGACAATATATCACTGCAGCCATATTATCTCTCTGTCTGTCTGTATGTGTGTGTGTGTGTGTGTGTGTGTGTCTCACTCTTCCTTATGGTTGTCCCACGTTCAGCTGAAAATGCTCCCGTAGCCATGGCGACCAATCCCAAGGGGAAAAGTTGATGCTGAATCTCTTTCTCACTCTCTTCTCCCTCCATTGTCTCATGCCTTGTTTCAATCTAATGCGTTCCTCTCACACACACACACACACACACACACACACACACACACACACACACACACACACACACACACACACACACACACACACACACACACACACACACACACACACACACACACAGTCACACATAGACTAGCTTGCCTGGATATAGCAGCAGAGGAGATGCAGTTTGTGTGTTTTGGTTCATTTGGCACCAAGTTCTAACCCTAACCCTTAAGTAATAATTGACCTTATTGCTGAGAAAGACTAACCTCCGGGACAGAGTTGAGTTTTATTTTCCTGTCTTTTCTCTACAGTTCATTTCTTTCTTGCTTGTTAGCAACTATGGCTGTTCCAGTTGAACCCTAGGACATTTGAGCAGAAGGAATATAAAGGGAGGAGGCAGGATCATACCACAAGACTATGAGGTGTTTGTGTTTCCTCTAACGTTATGTTTTTTAAACATGGTGCTTATTGATTTGCATCCAGTAACCATCCGAACATGTTTTTGTGCTATTTTATCCACCCAAATCGACTTTCTCTTGTAATCAAACCTTCATTATTATAAAACAAAAAGGGTTTACAGTGATTTAAATGATGTTTTTGGTAAATCTTAATCTGTGGTTTCAATGGAGGAAAAGACTGGGGATTTCAGAAGTGCAGGAAATATGATTTGATGAATTCTACATCATTTATGCTTAATTTAGTATCAATGAATTTAGATGAATCTAGTAACGAGACCTGCTCCTATGGCCAGGTAAAGTTTGATTTAATATGAATTAAAAAAACGTTTGTTATAAAGTGAGAAAAAGACAGTAATGATTAATGTAGCCGTGGCTCCTCAGGCTCTTCTTGTCTTCTTCTCTTCACCCCTTTCTTTCCTTTCTCCCACTCGTTCTCCCTTCACACCCTCACCCTTGTTCATTCAACCCTCCCCTTCCTTCCTGCCTTTACGTCCCCACCTTTTTACATTTTTCTCCTTCTCAGTTTCCCTCTTTTATTTCGCCCACTGCTGATTCTATTCTTGACTATTTTCACCATGTTTCTTTAGCCTTTCATGTCCTACCTTATGGCTCCATTATTCTTATCTCAATCAGCCACATCCTGCCATTCAACCCTTTTTCACCGTCTCTCATTCCTTTTATGCCATCCTGATTTCTATCTTCCTAATCTCTCACCCTCCACCCCCACCACACCACATCATATTGCACTTATCTCCCTCTTTTCCCCACATACTGTAAACCTTTTTACATCTCCCTCATTCTGGTCATTTCTTGTTTCTAACTTCTCTATCGTTTTTTCTCTCTCCCTTCACCCAAAGACCCCCTTTTAATCCCACCCTTCCTTTACTCACTCCTCCTGTTCCTTTCTTTTTCTCCCTCCCTGCCCTCCGTTTTCTCCCCAGAGTCGGAGAGACAGACAGGAAGGAAGTGTGTAATGAAACGGCCCTATCAAGCACACTGCCCAAATTGACCTAGAATGAATGGAGTCACTGATCAGCTCCTGCTGAAGCTGCGCAAATGAAGAAGTGTGGGGGTGGGGGGGAGAAAATAAAGCCGCCTAATGTAGCACACGTTTTATGAATAGTGCTATCGGACAGAATGAGTACACAAACATATCAACTCTCTGCATCTGTAGGTCATTAAACAACGCTATATGTGTGTTCGTACAGCATAAATGTTTTTACTGCCAGTAGAGGGCTGTATTTAAAAATAATAGATGAGTACAAAAAAAATAACATTTTATTTTTCTGCTGAATTTTTCATGAAATCGATACTTGGAAAAGTCCATGAATTCAGTCATTTCAGCTGAAGGACGAAGCCATTTGTATTCAAGAGATTTTCTCTGCTGTTTGAACAGTGAAAACGGAGAGGCAGACAGGCGAGGCAACAGCTCAGGAAAGTGAAAATGAGAAAAAATAACTGACAAACAGGAAGAGACAGAATGACAGGATGCACTCCCACGAGCAACTGAAGTTGTTCGATGTTAATTTAATGCCCGAAAATGCAATATAATGTCATATTCTGACATTTATTTCTTAAAAATACTTGATCTTTCAACGTTATTTGGCTTGCGTTATACATCACGCTAATCTACTGCTTTTATGAAATGAAATGTGTGTGTGTGTGTGTCAGGCTGTCAGCTT